CCCAGCCTGTGCCACCCCCGGCCACTCACCTGGCCTCAATGTCGTCTCTCCCAGCTGCTGATGGTCGTGTCCGTTGTCCTGGAAAGGAACCCCGAGCTCGAGTTTCAGGACAAAGTCGACCTGGACAAGCTGGTGAAAGAAGCGTTTCAGGAATTTCAGAAAGATGAGAGTCAACTCAAGGGCGTTGAAAATCAGGTGAGTAGAGAAAATAGCTTTTCGTAGATTTTTTTCCTGCCTCAATTCTTCAAACTATCCCAACCTCTTACCGTGTAACTGGCAGATTCCCAGATGGCACAAGGGAGAACTTGGGGTGGGGAGGGGCAGGAGGTCTGACTTACCTGAGGAATTCAGGCTACTTTTTATTTAATTATGAGTCAATTCCACCATGAAGTTCTGTAGAAGGAAACCTGGGAATTTCCTGCACAGAGGCAGCGGGTCAGGCGTGCTTTACAGAGAGGAGCCCGGGCCCCAGGAGGCTGCAGGATTCCACCCTGTAGGGAGGGGTGTGACCAGGCTCTGCGGGCGCCGTGTGCGCCCCCTACAGGCTGTCACATTTAGGCCCGGCTGTCAGGAGGCCTGAGTAAACAAGCACCGTCAGCCAGAGGAGAATCGGAAAAGGCCTGTCCTGTTTTGTTGGCTGAGAAGACACCTCAGGACCGGGAAGGGAAGCTCTCGGCGGCGTGTTTTCCAGGAGGGAACCCCGAGAACGACCTCCCGGGGCGGCTCTCACTTCACCTGTCAGAGCGGAGGGGAGAAGGAGAGAGACCTCAGTGATGAGAGAGTCATGGGTGGGCTGCCTCCTGCACGCCCCGCACTGGGGACCGAGTCCGCAACCCCGTCGGGGCCCTTAGGACCTCCTGGTGCGTCAGTCAGCCCTCAGCCACTGAGCTTCGCCCGCTGGCCCTGCCACCTCTGCACCAGGCAGGAAACCCAACGCACCTCCCTTTCCTTCCCAGGACGACATGACTTCCTTTTACAACACGCCCCCGCTGGGCCGGCGCGGGACCTGCAGCTACCTGACCAAGGTGGTGATGAACCTGCTGCTGGCCGGCGAGGTCAAGCCGGGCGGCGAGGACCCGTGTCTGGTCAGCTAGTGAGGAGGCGCGGGGGGCCCTGGGGACACGCGTGCGAGGAGCGGGTTACGTTCTGCCTGGACGTGGAGTCCAGGCGGCCAGTACCGAGTGCACTGACCCCGCTAGGGCGGCGCTGCCCGCCTCCCACAGGGACTGGGCCTCTTGCTGCCCCCGCCAAGCGAATGGTAGGACATGCTGTCAGGCCAGCGAGAAAGTCCTCGTGGTCACGCCAGCTAGCCGTGACCCTTACTGAACAGTAGGAATAGTAGACGAGGGCCGGTCACCACTGCATGTTCTGTGATCAGTTGCTCATCAGAAGTAATCCTCGCTTCCCCACTTGCTGCCACTGAAGTGCGTGTGCCACGCGTGCGCTGGGACGAACGTGGCTGGAGCGGCGCTGTTCAGGGGCGTGTCACGCTGCCTGGATTCAAATGCCTCGTCACGCGTGTCGGCCAGCTGACGTCTTGATGTTCGGAAGCTGTAGTATTGGTAACATTGTAGGGTACAGAGCTGCTCTCCAGTTTTTACCTTGGGAACGTGACGATGGTTTTGTATTTGTCGCAACTGTAGCGGTTGGACTAAAATACAGTAATAAATCTGATCAAACGTGTAAGACTTGTCTATTTGTATTGCAAACACCGATATGCCTGATGAAACGTTTTCGTTGAGTTCTTACTAAAGAGAGGGCATGTGTAAGATTATTGAGAAGTATTGGTGGTTCACCTAGTTTGTATTAGTAAACATGAAATTAAATATTACTGAATTTTATTTCTGAATTAATGGTTTGATCTGGGCACACTCTTTGTTCTCTTGTTCCCAATACCGACTCCTGACCATTTTTATTTACTGAATCTGGAGAGGAGGTGGAGAGACGCAGCGGTGCCTCCCATCACACTCATTTGGGCGCCTACCACATCTCCTCAGGCTGGTAAAAGCGGAACGTAAACACTTAAATGCCATGGATTTGTTTTCTTGCGAGGACATCGGGTTCCCGTAGCCCCCGCCCATTCTGCAACAGCCCTGGCCCTCGGTGGTATAGGGGCGTCTTATGAACAGCACACGGGGACCCACGAGCTTCTCCCTAAGTCAATGGGAAGGGGGGAACTCCGTAACGCCAGTCACTCCCCGCCCCTGCCCGCCCGGCATGTTCCGTGTGTGGAGAGGTACAGGTGAGGTGGGCGTGGGGTCCCCCGACATGTGCGCTCGGTGCAGTGAGCTGCACGGCAGGTGGAGGTGGTGATTCGGATCCAGTCCCTGCTGAGCCAGCGTCGGGAGGTGGGGTCACGGGGGCTGGTATGTAGACGCATTTGTCTTCTGAGCCTGAGGGTGCGAGGCCTCGGATGCAGCGCCCGCCCGCAGCTTGTCAGACTCAGTCGTGTTTGATGGAGATGTCCCTCCTTACGGAGGCTCAGCTCAGGTCCTGCTGGCCAACCGCACATGGCCTTGGGGCTGAGAAGGAGCAGGATGAACCCAAGCAGAAGTGACATGTTTTGAGTCCACCCCTTTCCGTCCACTTTCTTATCCTCAAAACAAAACAACAACAAACAATCGGACAGTGATTCTCCGCCTTTTGAAATCACTGCTCTGCCCTCAGTGGAAGAGATTTCATTTCACTGAAGATTTTTTTTTCTGGTTTTACTTTTTGTTGTTTCTGACTGACCCACATTAAGGGACAAAGGACGTCCGCCTGCTGGGATTCCGAATTCCTTGGCTCCTAAGCTGGTGTTCCCACCTTAGAGGCACGCGTTGCAGTTGCCTCCCGGGGGTCAGTATTCGCATTCTCTTGGACATCTTCCGGTCTAGTTCCCGGCGCCCTTTCAGCCTCCTCCATCGCGTACACGAACCTCTAACGCCTCCCTGTTGTCTGCCTTTCTGAGTCAATCTAAGCGACTCATGGTCCTCAAAGCAGACACAGGGCCCGCTGGTGTGGCCACGGTTGAGTGTCAACCCATGAACCAAGAAGTCACTGGTTTGATTCCTGGTCATGAATGGCTTTAGTCATTCAAAAGCAAAAAGCTGAGAATTCCCCTTGTTTTGCATATGCCCCGGTTTCGGGCTTGAGCCCTAGTGTGGGGTGTGCAGGAGGCACTGATCAATGATTCTCTCTCATTATTGATGTTTCTATCTCTCCCTTTCCCTTCCTCTCTGGAATCAATAAAAATATATTTAAAAAAATAAAAGAACAATTATCTTTTAAAAAAACACACAAAGAAAAACATCCAGACACAGGTATGGTCCTCTTACCTGAAACGTACCTCCTCCCCTTCTCTCCTACGCAGTCGCCCTTCCCCCCTCCCCCAAGGACAGTGCCACCCAAGCATAGAACACGCTCTCCACTGCCGTGGGCTCTGGCGTGAGGCCCCCGCTTTCAGGTGGAGCGTACGCCTTCGGGGGCCCGGCACCCAGTGAGGGCTAAATAGGTTGGGTGTCTCCACTCACTACCCACTGGGGCGCCGAGCTGGCACAGAAGCCGAATACATGCTTGCTGACTGACAGAAGAGAGTGGGTAATAAATACGGACTGCGAACGGGGATCTTCCCACAGGGCGGGGGAACTGCCTGCTTGTCTGGAGCGGGCTGTGTGGGCGGTTTCATAGAGGAGTGTGCGGGGAGCTGGAGACACGCGCTGAGCCCCGCCGTGTTCATCGCACGGGGACAATGGAGGGTAAGACATCCTCAGCTCCCTGCTGAGGGCCGCTGATGAATGGCTTGTCGTTCGAAAGCAAGAGCTGAGAATTCCAATTCGCTTTGCAAAAATAGCTTTGGAGTCGCGTTCTGGAGCTGGAAGCTTTTACGCAAATTAATAACAAGCCGTTTTTCAGCTTCTGTGGAGCAGAGGCGTGCGCAGCCAGGACTCCCGAGTCAGCAGCTGGAGGTTCTCGGTGCGGGAAGGGCAGTGCCGCTCATTCTCCCTGTTGCGTGGCCGGTTCCTGCCGCTCTGCGCCCAGGACCTCGTACCCTTGACGGGCGTTTACTTGGCCACTGTTTGGTTAAAACACCTGATGCCGGTGAGACTGTCTCAGCTTCTGTAGCTAAGGGGGGCCCCAGGGCCGCAGGGCACCTCTGCTTCACGCGGGAACCCCGCGCTCCCCCAGGTCTCTCGGGGCCTCCCTCCCCCAGCAGCTGCTGAGGGAAACCAGTCCTGACCCACCACCTGCAGAGGGTCACCGTGCAGCGAATGCGGGTGACACGAGGAAGGTCTGAAGAGCCCGGGACTTGAATGTGCCGTGGGCTGTGCCTGAAGGATGCTGGGACCGAGCAGGCCTGCCTGCAGCTCCTCCATCACCTGGGTCTGAACGGAAGCCTTTGCTGTGCACATGCATGGCACTGAGGCACCGGGGGGGCCTCACTCATACGTGCACGTCAGATCGAATAGGGACAGCACGGCCTTCCACCTGAGCTCCCTATGGGCCAGGGGCTCCGGGAATCCGTGTCCTGTGCACCCAGCATCGTGCCTCACGACATTTGTCACCTGCTCGAGCCCTTTCCCAGCCACCACCCCATTCACCCGCACACCCTGATCCCCGCCCTGGGTGGTGCCCTCCCCCTAGAGCCGTGCCTGTGCCCGGCCAGCCTCATCCCTGCCTGGCACTCTGGAGCCTCACCGAGGGCCATCATCCCTGGACTCTGCCGGGGGGGCACCCGAGGCTCCGTGAGTTCTCAGGTCAAGGGCAGCACGGTCACTGCTCTCCTTGGTGGCCGCCGTTCTTCCCGGTCTTCTCACCTGCTTGCAGGCCATGGTGGGCAGTAACCTTCTGCACAGTGACTCCCGTGTTGTCCTCGGTCCAGGCCTCACCTCTACGCCAGACTCACAGTCAACCACCTGTGTGACGCTAGACACACTTCACTGTCAACATTCTCAATAGTTGAACCTGGGCCCTGGCCGGTTTGGCTCAGTGGATAGAGCATCGGCCGTGGACTGAAGGTTCCTGGGTTCAATTCTAGTCAAGGGCACATGCCCGGGTTCTGGGCTCGATCCCCAGTAGGGGCTGTGCAGGAGGCAGCCAGTCCATAATTCTTTCTCTCTCTCCCTCTCCCTCTGTCTCTGAAATTAATAAAAACATAGTTTTTAAAAAATAGTTGAATTTGGAATGACCTCACTCTCAGCTCCTAAAATCTTGGTTCTCTTAGTCCATAATTCTATCATGTGTGGGAGTCATCACTCCCACCGTCAATCAATGACTAAGGTCTTTCAGTTCAGGTCCCAACAAATCCTGACTCAGCTCCCAGCTCTCACTTCCAGGGCCAACACCTGATGCGGGCCCCCCCGCACCCTGCGGCTGGACCCCTGTGGGGGCTCCTGACCGCCTTCCTCTTCGCTCGGCCGCCCTCCCACCGGCCCAGCATCTGCTGGAGATGGATTTTGGACATGAAAATCTGAGCATGAGGTGGTGGTGGTTGTGGCGAGCAGGGAGACTTGAAACATTTTTTTTTT